GCACAATGTACAAAATGATTAGCATTAAAAATATGGACATAAATAAGGGATATAACTTTGATTGAGACTTATTTTGTTTTTAGATATATATATATATATATATATATATATATATATATATATATATATATATATATATATATAAACAGTGAGCTAAGGTGGGCCCCTTTCAAGCGTGGGCCCTGGGCAAGGGCCTAGCTCGCCCTTGCTCAGGGCGGGGCCTGCTGCATTGTAATATAGTCGGTAGTATTTTAAAAAAAATACTACATTTATTTTTAGAAAGGGGTTAAATAAGCCCCTGAACTTTACATGAAAGTGCAATTAAGACCTTGAACTTTAAAAAAAGTTCAATTAAACACTTAAACTTATCATTTAAAAAAGTTCAATTAAACACTTAAACTTATCATTTAAAAAAGTTCAATTAAACACTTAAACTTATCATTTTGGTGCATCCAAACCCAATAGCCGCCGGTTATCCACTTGTGATAACCGGTCATTAGGGTTCCGATGACCATTCCCACAGCCGACGAACCATTCCACCGGCTGGAGAACGGTTACCGGCCGCAATAATGATTGAAGACGGTCGGTCACTTTCTTCGGTGGAAAAGGCAACTAGACAACCACATTCTCCAAGTGAAAAAGGCGCCGGTCACCACCGTCTCTAGCTAGTTAGAGAATACGACCAGATGACGTCTTCTCCAATTGGAGATCGAAGGCGACCAGAATGACGCATTCTCCAACTAGAGATGGCACAGATCACCTTCTCCAGTTGGAGAAGGCAACCAGGCCACCGCCTTCTCCAACTAAAGAAGGCGTCGGTCACCTTCTCATGTTGGAGAAGGCGATCGGAATGGCACGCCTTCTCCAATAGGAGAAGGCAACCAGACTGCCGCATTCTCCAATTGGAGAAGGCGACCGGAATTGCGCCTTCTCCAGTTGGAGAAAGTGCCAATTACCTTCTCCATCAGTGGTGAATTTTTTTAAAATTCTCGTAATTAGTAGTTGTATACGACGAGCAACGGTTGTTAATAGTCGTCAACAACGGATAGTTTACTGGTAACTTATTAGTTACAGGTAAATAGGATTTATTTGACCAATTTTCACAAGTTCATGTGTTTAATTACACATTTTTGAAGTTCATAAGTTTAATTACATTTTCACGTAAAGTTTAAGGGTATATTTAACCCCTTTTCCTTTATTTTTAAAACATACATTTAAATATTCATCAGTAATTAATATGCCATTGCACAATTAAAATTTGTATTTATTATTCATTGAATATAATTTAAATGAAATTAGATGTTGATCTGAATTAACTAATTTATAAACCATCAATAATCTCTTGTTATTATCGTATCTATCTACTCCTCCCAAAAGGTTGAAATTAGGTGCTTAGGCCCTCAAAGGTTGAAATTTGGTGCTTATTATCGTATCTACATGTTAATAGGAATTGTCACATCTGGGTAAGAGATGAATATTGAGAATGGAAAGAGGTGAACATTGAAAATTGAAGAGGTAAGTTTATTTAGAGGAGAAAATATTGATTTTTTTTATTTTTTTTTGGAATAAGAGTCAAATAGGCCCTCAAAATATATTCAAAACAGTAATTAGACCCTCAATTTATAAAAGGCTCTAATTGAACCCCTCAACTTGTCAAATTAGTACAAATGTACAATTCACCTATTTTACTTGTAATCTTCCCATTAATGATGACATAAGCACTCAAACTCCACAATGAGCACTTCATCTCTGTTGCTTCCCACGGTTTCCATCGGCAAGCACAGTCGCAGCTCCCCCTCCTTCTCCCTCTCTTAAACTATATATCTGTGTCTCTGAATCTATATATCAAAAACATAAATTTTCTTAAGTTTATGGGTAGAAATATAACCCATCCATAAACTTTTCTTGATCATCATACTATCTATCACTCTATCAGTCTGTAGTTTGAGTGGGAAGTCTTCAATTGTCACCAACTTTTGCTTCTTGTCTACTGTTTTTTCATTCTCATTGCCCAAGGTAAAAGGACAAAAATAGAAACATAAATGGATTGTTACATTCTGGGACTGGGACATTTATGATCATCATTGGACTACTGATGTCTGATGATATATATATATGTTCTTTTTGGGTTACGTTGTTTTCCCAGGTGTTAGAGGAGCGACTTTTATGTTGATCAACATATGCGGTTACACGGTATGACCGGGAGTTCTAGCCAATGCCGACAGTGTCAGATTGTATACCACCGGATTCGAGCTTGTGCCGGGGGCGTCGCAGGGTTTTCAGGTGACGTCGAGTTCGTCCGGCTGGATCTGGGGGAGAACAGGTTGTAATTTCGACATCGGCAGTGGACAGGGAAACTGTGCCACCGGCGACTGCCGGTCCAATCAGGTGGAATGCATTGGCTCTGGCACAACACCTCCGGCGATGCTGGCGGAGTTTACTATCGTTCACGACGCTGGGGTGGATCGCCAGTTCGCCGATTTTTTTTTTTGTTTTTTTTTTTGTTTTTAATTTAATTTAGTCCATGTGGCTACCATGTCATCATTAACTAAAAGGTTACAGGTAAAATGATTGAATTGCACTAATTTGACAAGTTGAAGAGTTCAATTTGTGCTTTTTATAGAATGGAGGTCTAATTGTTATTTTGGATGATATACTTTGATGGCCTATTTGACCCTTATTCTCTTTTTTAAAAAAATAAAAAATAAAAGACAAATTTTCTTATGAGACCGTGGAGATGAGTCGGATTTTTTTTATAAGTATTACGTTTTTTCTCATAAATATTACAATTCTCATTATAAGTAATTCTTCAACTCTTAATATTATATATTTTTTTATTTAAAAGTATTATATTTTTCATCAATAGTATCACATTTTATGCCATAAGTATTACAATTTCTTTCATAAATAACAAGTAAACAATTTATCCATTGTGTATCTCTTTTCCTTCTATTCATAAGATTTTTTGCTTTGACCAATTCAAGGTGAAAAAAGGGGTTAACTAAAAAGGAAAGAAGGGGGGGGGGGGGGGGGGGGGGGGAAGGAGAGCCTTAGGGTACTATGCTCACTTCTGCATTTTTGTTTAGATTCTCGAGATTCTCAATCGCTCCTTTTAGTGAGGATGAATAGTATGGGAATAGCGCGGTTCGATCTCAAACGAGTTAATCCTTCCTCTTCCTATTGATCGAGCTACTATGTTCCTCTATAAATAAAAATAGGCTAGAATGGTTCTATTAAGCAAGAAAACTATTCAACCCCGGCCCACTATTTATTCTTGGAATAATATTATATTTTTTAAGATAAGTATTACATTCCCATTATGACCTCACCCAATTCACAAGAGACTCACTCCTGACAAAAAATATGAAGGGGTAAATGTAAAATGGATAAAGGAAGTGGAAAGAGCAGTAAAATATTTGCTCAAGAGTAATAAAAAGACCCTAAGGGGTGTGGACGTGTAGTTGAGGGAAGTGGACTCATTCATCCTTAGCTAAAGGTTAGTCAAGGATTTGATCATTGACATTGGCTTTGATATGGAACAGTCTTAAATCTCCAAGCCAGCCTACGATTCAGGGTTAGTCATTGTGTTCGACGTTAGAAACTTAGATATTAAAAAAAAAAAAAAAAAGGAAAAGGTACAAATAGACCATTGAAATATTTGGGGGATAGCAATTAAGCCACCAAACTCGAATAAGCTCCAAATTCATCCATGAACCTGGAAAAAAGTGCAATTAGCATTTTTAGCATGTTAACAACGGGGTTGGATTGCCATGTGTATATTTAATTTTATATTTTATTATTTTTTATTATCCTACTAAGCATTTGATCATCTTCTATGCCATGTTTTCTTGATTTTATTTCATGACGTGTCAGGTACTGAATTTAAAAATAATTTTTTAAATTTAATTTAATGATTTCAAATAAAATAATTGTTTTTCCATAAAATAAAATAAATAAAATAATTATTTTAAAATTAAAAAAAAAAAAAAAAAAAAACAGCCCTGCTGGAGATGAAGGGGACCCCTTCGTCTCCATGGCCGGCCCTTCATCTCCGGCATGGCCGGGGTTATCTTCATTTTGTTTAGCGAGTTCTTCTCCGGTGACTTCTTAATTGTTTTACCCCTATGGTTTTAAAAATGTTCAGTGGGGATTGGTGGGTTCCCGAAGATTTAATATTTTAGTCCGAACAAGATGCTATCTCCGGCAGGATGATTGGTACATGTTTTTCGATTGGGTTGTTTCCGATGAACTTTTTTTTTGGTCTTTCTCTGCAATTTAACTTTGCACTGACGTGGCTTGGGTATTCCCGGTGGTCTGAATACTTTTGGTTCTGGAAGGTTACGTTGTTTCAATCATGTACATTGATGTGAATACACGTATGGTTTCTCCTTTGGCTATCCATATGTGCTTCACGGTGACCGGCGTTGTTGAAGCTTGGTTGGTGGGTGTTGAACTGTTGACTAACTGAAAATCCTGTGGTTCTTAATGCCGGCTATCCTTGTGTTGCCCGACGAGCTATTGAAGCGTTTTGGGGGTGGCATTGTCTTCGTTTTTCTTTCGGCATGCCCTTTGTGTTGCTTGGCTTGAGCTTTCCTCTGCCAGTCATCTAGTGTTAATGCTCACAACCTTTGGTTGCTGGTGGATTGCTCTCTCCGGTGACCTTTGGGTTGGTTGATCTGGTATAAATTTTAAAAATTATTTTTAAATATCGTACTTGACAGGAAATAAAATTAAGAAAACATGACATGAAAGAGAGTCAAATGTTTAGTAGGATAATAAAAATAATAAAATATATACATGACAACCCAACACATGTTGTTAACCTACTAAAAATGCTAATTGCTCTTTTTTTTTTTTTTTTTTTCAGATTCATAGTTGAATTTTGAAATTTATTCAAGTTCCGTGACTTAATTGTTATCCCCAAATAGTTGAATATCGTATTTGTATCTTTCCCCAAAAAATAGTAATAAAAAGCAATTCTATGAAATATTTGGTGCCATGTGCAAATGACGTCCACACAGATCTTCACCTTCAACCCTTCATATCTGCATGGCGCAGAAACTGAAAAAGCTTCTCTTCCTTCTCTCTCCCTCTCTCTGTCTTTGTTTTTTTTTTTTTTTTGCCTAAAACTTTCGGTTACCTAGTTTTCATACCTCTGACATCTTAGATCAGCAAAATACAATCTCTTCCTCGCTCCATTTATATATTATTTCTTCATCATCGAGTCCGTACAAAATATCTGTAATCAGCCAACTTGTCTTCTCTGTTTTCCGTTACTCCCTCACCTATAAACTCATATATGGACCGAACTTGTAGTAATATCACTTCGAGATCACCATTTTGCCTCGCAATTGTCGGCGGTGGAGATGGAATCGACTGAAGATCGCATTCTACCCACATCCGATTTGGTATCTTCTTTGAACTACTTTTCATTGCCATTTTGATTTCCCATAAGATTTCCTTGAATTTGAGTGATTTTTGGGTTTTGGAGAGATCTTTATTGGTTTTCGGTGGGGATTCTTTGAGGTTCTCAACCATTTTTACTTATAATTTGTATGCTTTTGGAGGTGTGTATGCCTTTCTTTCCTTTTCTTGTTTCTTTTTTGTCAAAATGTCTGCTCATTTGATTCTAAGAAGATTTATTGACTTAAAACTATTCAAGAATTATCATATTTTAGCTAAGCAATTTCTAAAACTTACTCAAGTTATATGGTTTTCCTTTTTTATTTGCAATCTCAATTTTAGGAAGTTCATTGGATCGAAATCTTGAGCCATTTGGTGATTTGCTTTTCCAGTAATCCTGGCTCTTCATGGGAGTATTAAATAGTTGTATACTGTGTAGCTTGGCATTTTTGTATCGTGTATAGTAGCAATTAGTTACTTTAATAAGATATACATGGTGGGCCACTTGGATTTTGATTTTGATTTCTTCCCTCTTCCTGGGGATCATTTCTTTCCTCTTCTGACTTCTTTTTAAGTTCACTTTTGTTTTTGCTTTTTTAACTCATCTTGTAATTAATTGTGTTTTATCAGTTATCCTTTAACTAATTATGACATGACTTGCTTTTATTTGTATAGTGTGAATAAATGCCTGCACTCTAATGAGTAATGATTTCTTTTGTTGTTATCTCATGATCAGAATGAACTACAAAGCACAGAGATGCCTGGTGTCCAGGGTGACCATAATTCTGTTGTACTTGCAACTAGGTTGGAGAGGCTTTTGAGAGATAGGGAATTAAGAAAATCCAGCAGGTCTCATCATTCAAATGAAGGGGTAAGAGATGGTTGTGCACCTGATTGTGAGAAAAGCCCTCAAAAGGAAAAAATTGTCGAAGGAATTGCAGCATCAAAAACGCCTGGTGATGTCAAGGAAAGGAGAGATGGATGTCCTCAGAAGCAACGGTTATTAGTGGTGGCAAATCGCTTACCAGTAGCTGCAACAAGAAAGGGCAAGGAGTCATGGACTCTTGAAGTTAGCGTAGGAGGCCTAGTCAGTGCACTTTTGGGTAAAAAATAACTCTTTCTTTATTCCGATTAGTGAAATTGCTTTGGAAATACCCACCTTATTTATTATGACACGGATTATTTTCATGAAGGTGTTGCTGAAATTGAAGCAAGATGGATTGGGTGGGCTGGTGTGAATGTACCTGATGAAGTTGGACAGAGATCACTTTCCAAATCTCTCGCGGAAAAGGTTTGTAATGTCTGTCAAACTAAAACTATCATTAAGTAAACCTCCCTTCCAGCATTGAACTTTTCCATATTGATTTTTATTTCTAAATGAGACATCTCTACATTTCCTTACCTAATCTGGAATGACTATAACTTACCCATTCATACAAACTTTTTTTTTTCTTCTCCTGACAAATAGAGGTGTATCCCGGTTTTCCTTGATGAAGATACTGTTCATCAGTATTATAATGGTTATTGCAACAACATATTGTGGCCTCTTTTCCATTATCTTGGACTTCCACATGAGGATCGCCTTGCAACCACACGCAGCTTCCAGTCTCAATTTGCTGCATATAAGAAGGCCAACCAGATGTTTGCTGATGTTGTTAATGAGCATTATAAAGAGGGTGATATTGTGTGGTGCCACGATTACCACCTCATGTTTCTTCCCAAATGTCTAAAAGAGCGTAACAATGAAATGAAGGTTGGTTGGTTTCTTCATACACCTTTCCCTTCCTCTGAAATTCACAGGACACTGCCTTCTAGATCAGAGCTTCTGAGAGCTGTTCTTGCTGCTGATTTGGTTGGGTGAGTATCTTATTTCCTAAGCTGCTTTCATTACAAAGTTCCTGTTGTGTTCTCTTTTCTCTAAAATTGTATGCTCGTAAGCATAATAGCTTTCTTTAGTATGTCATAACTCATAAATTAATTGATTCCGAGACCATTTTTTCTATATGGACTAAGTTTTTTTCATGAGTACAACAGTGTAGTTTGGAAGATACTTTTAGGAAAAGAGAAAAGAAAAAGAAAAAAGAAAATGGATAGTCAGATTTTGGTCACACACACTACATATTGGCAAATTTAGCATTGATATTTGGGTTGTATCTTAATTTGAATGACATGCATGAGGACATGAGGTTACAAAAGCAAAGATAGCAAGCACAAACTTTTGAGCCTTCTCATATCCTGCTTTTTTACAATTGGGATACTTAGTCATATAGTTCATTTTTTTTTTCCTAATATGGGTTTTCTACTTTTCTTTGTTAATTTTCAATTCTCTTCCTACCCAGTTGTCTGAGAGTTGAATGCCAAAAGGCATTTCAGAGACTCAGAGACACGTATCATAGGTCCACTTTATACTTGTTGCTTTGGTGCTACTAATGGTCCAAAATTTCAATGTTTGTTATTCCAGCTTTCACACTTACGATTATGCAAGACACTTTGTTAGTGCCTGCACTCGTATTCTTGGACTGGAAGGAACACCTGAAGGGGTGGAGGATCAAGGAAAGCTTACTCGAGTAGCTGCGGTACAACTACCTACTTCTCTGTGTTACTATGATCATATGCAAAACCATTTGGTTCTTTTGCTTTGGTACCTTTTTTTAAAAAAAAAAAATTTATGAGGCTAACATTAGCATTTAATGAATTCCTTGGAAAAAAGTTTCCTATTGGGATAGATTCTGATCGTTTCATTCGAGCACTTGAGCTTCCTGTTGTTCAGTATCACATCAAAGAGTTGCAAGAAAGATTTGCTGGACGAAAGGTTATCTCCCTACTAAAAGCTCCTTGACTCTAAGTGGTTGTAAACTATTTCAGTAATGTGTAACTTCAACTAGGGCATTTCATTAATGTATCAATGAACTCTTTCTCTCAGACTAGTTCAATGAATTAATCATTTTTATTAAAATCCTCCACTAGCTGTTATTTGCTGTCTGCGCTCAATTTTGAAATTAAAAGAAAAAAATAAAATAAGATGAAAAGAAGGAAAGGATACACTGCATGGTTCATTTATGTCGGTGGTTATTTATGTTGAGGAGCAAGAACTTAAGTAGTGGTGCTAACATGAGGTTTGCATTCTATTGGAGTTAGGAATAGTCTTGATATAATGTTATTTGTAATACTAAAGTTTATAGAGAAGGAATTTCCATACACAATGCTAGTGGAGTGCCTTTGATGAGAGTGCCTATATACTTGTCAGTGTGGGTTGTAAACTGTGTTCTTCTAGTCGATTTAAAGGATAAAACAGCTTTTTATGATCTCTCTTAGAAATTGAAAGGTCAGTGAGGCCCTTAAATACACAGAAGATGGCAAAATTAAGCCCTTGAAAAGGTTGGGTCATGGATCTATTCATGAATTCTTACTTGAAAAGTTGAAAGTTTATATCTTGACTATATAACCAAAATTGGAGAATAGAAGTGATAAATTTGTTTGCGTCAGATACATGGAGCCATGACTTGAAACTAGCCAAATATCTTTTATTTTATTACCCCTTTGAGGTGGGCATGCATGAATAAGTATAAAGAGTCCACTTCAGAGAAAACGGTGTGTGCCTTAGAAGGTGTTTGCTTTCTCTAAGCACCTTGAGGCACTTGAGTTCCTCAAAACATATGGTTTTTATTTCTGAATTAGTGATGTTTCAAGGAAGTAATCTGTTACTACTTGTGCTCTGACAGGTGATGTTAGGGGTAGACCGTCTTGATATGATTAAGGGAATTCCCCAAAAGATCTTGGCCTTTGAAAAGTTTCTCGAAGAGAACCCGGACTGGCGGGATAAGGTAGTTTTGCTGCAAATTGCGGTACCAACAAGGACTGATGTTCCTGAGTGTATGTTCTACTCCTTATTCCTTTCATTTATTGCCTATGATGGTGATGATCTTGGTTCTCTATGATTTCATTTTTATTTATTTTTCTCCAAAAGTAAAGGATGAAGTAGCTTAAAAACCTTAGGTTATTTATTGCTGTTCAGTTCACATCAAAAAAACAAGGGAAAAGGAAAATGTTTCAGAGAGAAAATCTTTTCCAGTGTAAATTTTTTTTTTCTAATGTTTAGTCAGTATTGTTAGAAAAAGTTTTCTGTCTAGGTTCAGGTGTTCACTTACAAGGAAAGTTGTATACGGAATAAATTTAAAATTTAAGGAATAAATCTATGCCATTTCTTTTCAGTCAAACTTATAGAAGTTATTATTATAGTTGCGGTTTGCAATTTTTATTTCACTTAATTGTGTCTCAAGTTATTCACTGAAATCTTCTCTTTTTACCTTTTGGTGAAGTACTTGAAAATGAAACTCTGTACCGTAAATCTTATCTTTTTAAAACATTCTTCTCTAAATTCTTTAAAACTTCCAAATAATATTGAAGCTTCCTGTATGAATGATATGTCACAGATTTGGAAATCAATTAAAGCCTTGTTTACAAAATTTCATAAATATTAAGGCACAATCCAAATACTATGTTGAAGATAAATACAAAATATAAAATAGTACATATATATCCTAATTAATAGCTTATGTTTTTAGTTAAGGTGGGACCATTTCAGTTTTTAATATGTCATCAGCATAGACAAAAAATGTCATCAAAATATGTCTGTGTGACTGTGTTTCGTCTATCAAAAAATATTGGGATTGCAAGTAAAGGCGCATGTTGAAGATAAATATAAAATAATAAATAGCTTAAGTTTTAGTTGAGAGGGAATGCATACATCAATAACGTTTACCAAAAATGTAGAGGAAGATCTTAGTTTTTCCAGGATAGATTACATTATTTTGTATTAGCAGCTAATTTGATAATATTAGGTAGATTACTAATGTTCTTGATACTCTTTTTTACTTTTTACTTGTCCTTCCCTACTATCAATTTTGCTTTCTTGGTTTGGCAGATCAGAAATTGACATGTCAGGTTCATGAAATTGTTGGACGCATTAATGGAAGATTTGGATCTCTTACAACCGTTCCGATTCACCATTTGGTTTGTAACTTTTGACTACCAGACATGCTTATGTTACATGTTGTAGATTGTAGATAGGGACATAGGGTGGCTTACCAGTTACCACTACTTATCAGAGGTCGCACATATCATAAACATTTTGGGTTCTCTTTCTCAAGTATTTGCATTTTTTAATGCTTATCTTCATATCTTCATATCTTACTGTTGTTTCTTTTACATTTGCAGGACCGAACTCTGGACTTTAATGGATTGTGTGCATTGTATGCAGTAACTGGTACTAATTTTCTTATTAATTTCAATTGGTAAGAATGTAAATATAGTCCAACTTAAGAAAACAAGGATCAAACTCCCTTAGAGACTTAAGTTGGTTCAGTTAAATATTTGTATAAACTATATTATCAACTCTAACTGATTATATTATACAAGCAGCCAATATAATAGAGAAGGAAATAAATTATGAACAGATGTACCAAAGCGGCAGCATATGCTTACAAGAGAAGCTAGCTCCTACTAGTCCTTATTGTTTATGAATTTGGGCAGATGTGGCTCTTGTTACGTCTTTGAGGGATGGGATGAACCTTGTCAGTTATGAATTTGTCGCCTGCCAAGCTTCAAAGAAAGGGGTTCTCATTCTAAGTGAGGTAGGTATCATTTTTCCCTTTCTGTAAGATCTTTAAAATTTAAATTTTATGTTTCCTTTGTTTCTTGGTTACATGATCGCAGTATTAAATGTCGCATAAATTTCCACATTTCCACTATGTATATCGTGTAAAAACAGATTCCTATAGCAAGGGCAGGAAGGTGATTATAGATCCTTAAATATTTATGAATTTGCTATTTGGCATTTGAAGAGGCTTTGGAATAGACTCAATAACATTTTTAAGCCTTGTGAATTAATTACATCTATGTTTCACAGTTTGCTGGAGCAGCACAGTCACTTGGTGCTGGAGCAATTCTGGTAAATCCATGGAACATTACTGAAGTAGCTGCTTCTATTGATTATGCTTTAAAAATGCCTGCCCACGAAAGAGAAAAACGTCATCACCTCAACTTCATGCATGTCACAACTCATACATCCCAAGAATGGGCTGCAACTTTTATTAGGTACGCCAAAAAGGATCGTGACTAATATGTCCTATTCAGTAGCAGTCTTGTTGCTTTAAATGCATCAACAATTGATTACAAAAGTTTTGGGAATAGTAATAGTTTTTGTAAGTAAGCTTTTTATAGATTCTGATTGGTACTTTTTTCTGCATTATAGTGAACTCAATGATACTATTGTTGAAGCTCAGTTGAGGACCAGACAAATACCTCCTCCACTTCCTACCAACGCTGCTATAGAGCGTTATATGCACTCAAATAATCGATTGCTTATACTGGTAAACCTTTTTTCCCTCTCTTTTGAAACTTCGTTTATTTTTCTAAGTTGATGGCTTCATCCAAATGATTGTGTCCTTTAATGCTGAACTCAACTGTCAGTTGATACTGGAACTGTTTACCTTGTAGTTCCAATGTGATATTTAACTGTTGATCAATGAGAGAAAGGCAAGAGTTTCAGCCAAAAAAAAAAAAAAGTTGAAGTAAAATATACTGTACTGAAATGATTAGTATGAGAGACAAATAACTTAATGGAAGAGTTCTTGCATAATTCTCTGATGACATTCTTGTCTGTTATAGGGATTCAATGCAACATTAACTGAACCACTGGATTCCCAAGAAAGAAGAATGGATCAGTTAAAAGACATGGAGCTTAAGTTGCATCCAGATTTAAAAGAACCATTAAAACGGTTATGTGATGATCCAAAGACAACAGTCGTTTTGCTCAGTGGCAGTGACAGAAATGTTCTTGATGAGGTTTTTGCTTTTGGATGTTAATGTTATTTTATATTTGTAGGTTAATGCTTTTTAACTTTATTTTCCCCTGCAGAACTTTGGTGAATATAACATGTGGTTAGCAGCAGAACATGGGATGTTTTTGCGTCTTACTAAGAGTAACTGGATGACAACAATGCCAGAGAATTTACACATGGATTGGGTTGACAGTGTGAAGGTGCATTTATAAATGTTTAACAAAGTTTTCAATTGTTTAAATTTGTAATGTTCCTTATATTTTGTTTCTTGTATATCCTAATCTTCAGCATGTATTTGAGTATTTCACTGAGAGGACACCTCGCGCTCATTTTGAGCTTCGTGAGACATCACTTGTATGGAACTATAAATATGCAGGTGATAATCTGTCTCCACCCATCTTGCAAAAATAGTTATTCATTAATCAATGCATATGAAAATTTTTAAACGTCTATTCCTGTTTGTTGACCATAAGCTCAGATGTTGAGTTTGGGAGGCTTCAAGCAAAAGACTTGTTGCAACATCTTTGGGCAGGGCCAATTTCAAATGCTTCAGTAGATGTGGTTCAAGGTAGTCGATCTGTTGAGGTCCGAGCAATTGGGGTTACCAAGGTTTGGCCTTTTCCTTCTTTTTACTTGTGTTGGGTGAAATCGCCTTTCAGAATGTCGTTTAATCTGCATGAAAATGAACTGCACTGAATTGCCGTTTATGCTATACAGGGTGCTGCAATTGATCGTATTTTGGGAGAAATAGTACATAACAGTGATGTGAAAGCACCCATTGATTATGTCTTATGTATTGGTCACTTTCTTCCAAAGGTGTGCAACCTTACACATGCTATAAACAATTTCTATTCCGTATTTTTTAACTGTTGGTTACTAGTTAAAAATGGAAACAAGAAATTTGTGGCACTTGTAAAACAAAAGAAATTTATCTGACTGCAGTTGATTATATTGGAAATGGAAACTTTTGCTTACAATTGAATTCTGTGTGATTCAGGATGAGGACATTTATACATTTTTTGAGCCAGAGCTTCCAGTTGGGCCATCTGCAAGTGCGAGGGCGAAAATGGGAAACCCCGTGAATAAAAATATTTCAAATCCTTTATCAGGTAAAGGCGGGGGGGTTAGGGAGCCATGCAACAAAAACCTGGAGCCCTGTTTAACTTCAGAAAAGAGGTTCAACAGTGATGGAAATGAAAACGAAAATTGGTGGTCTATGATGCGTGAGAAAATGACACTGCATGAAGGGTCATCGGTTCTTGATCTGAAGGGCGACAACTACTTCTCTTGTGCAGTAGGCCGGAAGTGCTCTAGCGCCAGATATCTTCTCGGGTCATCTGCTGATGTTGTAGCTTTACTTAAGGACCTTTCAGATTGCTCGTAGGGGAACATCTCTGCTGCCTCGAGTTAAGAACTCATTCTCAGGTTCTCTTTGACAGCTTCACCGGCCATGTCTGTACAGAGGTAATATAATGTAAACCTATAACCTATATGACGTAATATGAAATTGTTGGGGAATGAAACTCGAGGTAATATAATGTAAACCTATAACCTATATGACGTAATATGAAATTGTTGGGGAATGAAACTCGAGTTTGCCTATCCATGCCAAAACCATCTCCAGAGTCATTTAACGTGCCTTTCTCTTCGAAGACTTGAAAACGTGTTTAAAATTTGTGCTGTGCATCTAACGTTTCGTTTAATTTGTGTATTGCAGAAGTAATAAGAGGCAAGCCTATGGACTTAAGTGGCAGAATTGAAGTTGCTCCAACAGGGCCGGTTGTAATTATAGGATATTAGGAGTTAAGAAAAAGGGATAATGCTACCTTTCTGATCTGCTGTAAATTACGTTTAAGAAAAGTTGTGTTGAAGCCTAGTGCATAATAGCTAGTTTACTTAGTACCAAAACTCATGCATAGTGCTTTAACTCCTTGCATAATACCTAGTTTACTCTTTGTTGATTGTGGGTGTTTGTGATTTGATGCTTTTATTTACATTATTATTATCTTTTATTTTGCGCGAAATGATATGTATATAATGTACCATTTTGGGCATCATATGCATTATTTTTTTTTAAAGTTAATTATTGAAATAGTCCATTTACAATAGTAAAATTACCAATTTGGTCCTGAGTTAACAGATGTTTAACGGCAAAACAAATGGAGGACTAAATTGGTTAACATTTTCAAAATCGAGGACTTAATTGGACACGAAAAATTGTTGAGGACTAAATTGGTAATTTTATAATAGTTGAGGGACCATTTTGATAATAAACTTTAAAAAAAAAAAAAAAAAAAACTTAATTACTTTTGCTCTCAAGAGAGAGGTTTACCTTTGGAAGATGTTCACACACTTTAGGAAGAGATTTGAAAATAGTGGAGTGATGTTAGAAAAGACCTTAATTAATTAATTAAAGAGTTTTAGAGCATCCTTATCAAAGGAGAATTTGGGATAAAATTTGGGATAAATGGTGGGGTTATTTTCAAAAAGAATCCTCCCACAAAAGAGGGATTAATGTCAGAATTTTTGTTTTAAAAAAATCAAATAAAAAAAATAGAACACTTGTTCGCGCTTGGCGCGCACCTTGCGCCCACAACGTGCACGTCTTCCGCACGCGCCTGCTGGGGCATGTTAGAGTGGCCGCCCACTCTAGCTTTTGAACTTTTTTTTTTATTTTATTTATAAAATCAGAATTTGTTTAATTTTTACTTTTTCTTTTTTCACCAACATTTTTTCTCTTTTCTAATCACACTTACAAAAACTCTTCAAATACCGCACCGGGTTAAACTAATGTAGATGCCACCAAAAGACTTAGGGAAGTAGAAGAGGTTACTTGTAGAAGAGTCAAGTCAATAGAAGATATAGGTCAAATAGAAGGGTGACTAAACATAACAGATGTTTTGACATAAAATTAAGTGAAATAGAAGAATTTGAAGTTAAAAGAGTTAAAATTTAAGAGAAGTTAAAAGTCAAGATTATAAGAAAAATTTTGATGAATAGTTGAATAGATATTTAGAAAAGAACGTCAGAGGTATCAACTACATTGAAAATTGGAAGACCTCTACCATGCACTACGATAAAGAAGTACAAGGAACGTTTTCTAAAAGATCACCAAAAATACTTTGTATCTTCTGAAAAAAAAAAATATGTTTGGCACAATACATGAAAAAGATAAGATATATTTTGACAAGGGAAAATGGCACTTTTTCCCCCTATGTTATATACTTATAGCACTTTTTCCCCCTCAATTATTTATGTAAGCACATTAGTCCCCTCAATTATTTTAAAAGTGGTGGTTTTTCCCCCTAATATATTAAATTGACATTTCTACCCTTAAAGTAAACATTTTATTTATTTTACTTCTCCAACAAATTATTGCGTATATGTAGCGATTACCACGGTTCGGTTCGAACTAAACCAGACACTATAGCAATCGAATTAAAAGCTTTCAGTTATGATTCAGATCTAGAACCCAATATTTGGATTTCAATTTATTAAATTTAAGAATAAAAAAAACTGGATCATGAACCGGCGGTTCCGGATCCCGTTCGCGATTTTGAACTGTCTATATTTTAAAATTTTATTTTTTATTTTAAAATAGTTTAAATTCAACAATAAATGTATTTTATTTTTTCAGTTCGGAACATGAACCGGCCATTCCAGTTCGCGATTTTAATAAACTCTAAATATCGCGTTTTGATTATAAATTGTAATTGGAATATTTTGGTTTGGTTACTATAGTATCTGGTTTGAACCAAATTATAGTAATAATTTATTGGAGAATAAAAATAAATGAAATATTTATTTTAAGGGTAAATATGTCAATTTAACATTTCAGGGGGAAAAAGAGCCACTTAAATAATTGAGGGGGAAAAAGTGCTATAAGTATATAACATAGGGGGAAAAAGTGCCATTTTCCCTTTTGACAAATAGAAAGAAAGTCAGCATGAGTAAGAGTAGCTGCACTTTTTAGACTCACAATGATATATATGCACGGAAAAGTTGGGGGAGAACTTATTTTGCAAGTAATGCAACACAAAGTATGGAAAATAGTTCTTGAACACAATTGTTATCATACAAACAACATGGAAGGAGTGCTAACATATATGAAAGTTCAAATGAAATTGAAATTAAGGAAAGAAGTTCATTTTCAACAAGTTATAAATAAAAGCTCCAACTTAGAAATGTGATGAAAAAGTTACAAAAGTTGAACTTACTAATTACAATCTTAGGAGTTGTGAAGATTGTTCTTGAGAGAAGAACTATGGTACAAGGGGACTTGGTAGTTAACATTGTAAAAAGGCTGCACAATGAAGTGCAAAGGGCCTTGGTGGTTATTAAGGACGGTAAGATGAGGATAACTAAGTAGTAGAGAGATTTTGTGATTGGCCTTCAAGAAATTAAAGGATTTTACCACTTTGTAATTTGTATCAAATAATGTATTATATATAATAATCTTAATTACGGTTTCTATGTTTAAAACACAACCATATAGACATACAGGGACACGGAGCCAGAAAATTATTTGAGTGGGGGCGAAGTTTAAACATCATTAATTAGAAATGTCAATTACAAAATATATATCATACAACCATAATAAGGTTAAAATACAAAATATATTATAAATTACAATAAAATGTTTTTGATAGATTACGCGATAGTTATAGTCGAAATCAAAAATATACTTGAGTGGGGTGAAAATGTGAAAATATTTATGACAAGATATGAAACATAATCAATTAGATAAAATAATTTGAGTAACAACTATATTCATAAATACTTTTTAATTTTAATTTTTTTAGTTAAATCAACATTAAGTTTTTCTAAATTAATTCGAATACAATGAAGTATAATATAAACTTGTATACTACATTAATTAAATGATTCATAAAAAGTAGAATAAAAAGAATATTTAATTTGTTAATTAAATGATTCATAAAAGTAGGCTAAAAACTATTTAATTTATCTTGAGAAAGAATGAAAGAGATAAAATAAATAAGTGAAGATAAGAAAAATGTTGTTAATGAGATTTGAAACCTAGTGTTAGGAATAAAGTGTAATGGTTTTGATATGTCAAATATGTATTTGTAGATCCCCCAATTTTATTTCTATAGGTCTAGTAGAGTCTTAGACCATGATCGGGAAATTATTTAAGTTGCAAAAGAGAAAAACAGAAGAAGATGCATGAAAATAGAAGAAGAAGATATAAAGCCTAAAATCAAGAATTTGTCTGGAGAAAATGACAAATTAAAGAAGAAGATGAATGATATGAAAATCATGTCAATGCTACTCAAAAAGAAATCCCAGGAGAATTTTCGTTGAAGAAAATTAAGATTGGAAGATTGCATGAATTTGACTTGGAGATCAAACATCTATGGAAAGAAAGGAGTACATCAAAGATGATTGGAGATTTAACCAATAAGCTGTATTGACGAAATGGAAGATGCTTGATGAATTATGTGAAATGGCTCAAGTTTGAATCTCACCATCAATAATTTTACAAGGTAAAATTTGAGAAGCCAAAATTGATTAAATCTGATGGAGTTGGGCGCTAGTTTCACAAGGGAATCGCAATTGAAATTGGGAGCTAGTTTCACAAGGGAATCAATTCACAAGTTGGGAGCCAATTGAGATTGTAGTATGGATGCAATTTCAAAATTGTGTGAAATTGGGAGCTAGTTTCACAAGGGGAGCCAATTGTAGTATGGGATGCAATTTCAAAATTGTGTGAAATTGGGAGCTAATTCACAAGTTGGGAGCCAATTGAGATTGTAGTATGGGATGCAATTTCAAAATTGTGTGAAATTGGGAGCTAGTTTCACAAGGGGAGCCAATTGAGATTGTAGTATGGGATGCAATTTCAAAATTGGGTGAAATTGGGAGCTAGTTTCACAAGGGAATCAATTCAAGTTGGGAGCCAATTGAGATTGTAGTATGGGATGCAATTTCAAAATCAAATTGAATTGAGATGAAATTCAATACCAGCCAATTGAGATTGAAATTGGGAGCCAATTGAGATTGTAGTATGGGATGCCAATTGAGAATTGGGAGCCAATTGAGAATTGGGAGCCAATTGAGATTGTAGTATGGGATGCCAATTGAGATTGAAATTGTATTGAAAGTGGGAGCCAATTGAGATTGTAGTATGGGATGCAAAATTATTGGGAGCCAATGCAAAATTATTGGGAGCCAATTGAGATTGTAGTATGGGATGCAAAATTGGGGACCGATTCAAAGAGAAGACATTGAGATCAAATTGAATTGAGATGAAATTCGCCAATTGAGATTGTAGTATGGGATGCAATTTCAAAATTGGGGACCGATTCAAAGAGAAGACATTGAGATCAAATTGAATTGAGATGAAATTCAATACCAGGAGAAGTCTGGGAGCCAATTTCAAAGTCAAAGTCAATAATTCAAATTGGGAAGCAATTGAAAGCACTAGGAGTAGATTGTGAGCCAATTACAAGTCAAAGTCAATTGGGTGCCAATTACAATGGAGAAATTCAAATTGGGTGCCAATTACAAGTCAATAATTCAAATTGGGAAGCAATTGAAAGCACCAGGAGTAGATTGTGAGCCAATTACAAGTCAAAGTCAATTGGGTGCCAATTACAATGGAGAAATTCAAATTGGGTGCCAATTACAAGTCAATTGCAATTGGGTGTCAATTACAAAGGAGAAATTCAAATTGGGAGGAAGTTTGAAACATCAGAATACCCAGACGTGAGAATGAAGAAGATTCAAATTGGGTGCCAATTACAAGTCAATTGCAATTGAGTGTCAATTACAAAGGAGAAATTCAAACGTGAGAATGAAGAAGATTCAAATTGGGTGCCAATTACAAGTCAATTGCAATTGGGTGTCAATTACAAAGGAGAAATTCAAATTGGGAGGAAGTTCAAAGCCAGTTTGAAACATTAGAACACCCAGACGTGCCAGTTTGAAATTCAAATTGGGAGGA